GATAAGAACCTTGTATACCTCGAATACCTAGATAATTAAAATTAAAGTTGACTACATTCATTTAACAGAGAGAAGTAATTTTGAATTTCTTCAGGATCAAATTAAACTTACAATCTATGTGTAGATATATACAAGAACTGAGCTGAAAACTTTAGAATGAGATATCCTTATAATCCCGATTACTTAATCTGAGCATCGTATGGACACACTTTTGATTTTCTTCTTAAACCGTTCTTTCTTGGATATAGTAAAGAAAAATCAAAACCCAGTTTTTCGAAATTAGAGAGTTTCTCTCATTTCTGTTTATAATCTTAAATGGCGCGCAAAATTTCAAATTTATCGGCTTCGTATTTGCGACTCTGATTGGTTGAATTTATACAGTTTTCAGGATACAAGTACATGATTAGGTTAGTCTCGATATTATGAAAAAGAGAGGATCACGCATTAATCTCGATATCCACCATTCTAAAGTTTTCAGCTCTGAACACGCCATTTCAAGTGACCCTCCATTTATAGAGTGGAATATCTACAACGGTACAGTTAAAACCTTTATATGAGTATCAATCAGGAAGATATTCTCGTTATTCTTACTCACAATTGATAAATTGCCAAGTCATTTTAATTGTTAAAAAAATTTAAATAAATTTTCAGCTGAAAAAAAACAAGGATATCTCATTCATCCTTGATCAGATAAAAGTTTAAAGGTACTGTTGTGAATCTGACATGAATCTCTGTGATTAGAGGGTCCTTTATATTCACGTCTACAATCCCTAAAAGATTGCTTCTAGCAGATTTCAAGTCAAATTTTTTTCAATCCTCTTGAAGACATAAGTTTATTTGTTTTAACTTTTAAATTTTAGCCTAGAACAAAACTATTTGAATCACCCCGAAGAAATTGACGGCGTTCAAATTTTAACAACTCAAATTCAACTTTTAATATTCTTTTAATCAATTTGTTGCTAAATTCATATTATTCAATTTATATCACGCCTGAATTAAAGTTTACATTCTTAAAGTTTTAAAACTAACATTATAAAGATGTGTCAAAAGCGTACAGAAGGGTTTTACAAAAATCTCTCAAATTCCTCCAAAAGTTTCATGATTTGTAAATTTTGTGCCAAAATTTGTTTAAGTAAATTTCAATTTCTAAAATGGTTTCGAAAGAGGTAGTTTTAGGACGAGTCTGAGAGTTAACATAATATAATAAAAAAATACATATAATGCAGTAAATATGTAGTGAAAAGAAATTTACAATTATTTCTTTTCTTCATATTTGAATATTTGAAAAGAGTTAAGTATATTGGCTGATGTAGATACAGCTTCAACTTTTTAGTTACATTATCTTACATATGATTAATCTTTTAAAAAATGTTTGATGTGAATATATTGAAAATCAATTTTCTAATATTTTTTTCAATGACAGTCGTTTTTCCAAAATTTTAGATTGGTTTGAAAAAGTGACAAAACTATTTAGATTCCAAAAAGATATTTTTACGTCAATTAGTTTGCATGCATAAACAAAGATTATACGAATGTAAAGGGAATAATATTTCTAGATCAAAAAAATATTTCGAACAAAAAAAAATTTAATAATTTGAAAATAATTTTAAATTTAAGATTAAGTTTTGTAAAAACTTCCCCTGTGATTGCATGCATGGCGTCAAAGAATTAAGAAATTAAAAGTTTAAAGTAAAGACTAAAGTTTAAATTATGCAAGGTTTTAAAATATTGTAAAGTTAGAAGTGAAATTTAAATCCAGTTTTATAAATACTTCAGTATATTTTCTTCGGGTTATTTTGAATTAGCAAGATAACCATATTCGTTCTGGGGAGGGGGTGGAGGGTCATCCCCCCCCTTTGTATTTTTTTACCAAACTAAAAAATTATTGTTTGGATTGGATTACATTTTTACAAACTGTGTCATTTTTAAGAACTGCCTGAATGCCTTACTTTATATCAGCCAAACTAATCTTGGTTAGGAACCAATTCCAGCAATTTTTGAGCTTTATAAAAAAGTGATTTTGTGCAATTTTAGTTTTTTAATGGTCATTTTTCGTATGATTTTTGCAAACATTTTGTACTCTATAATTAACTCTATGTGTGCAAATCAAATTTTTTTTCTTCAGATTTCTAAACATGTTTAATACACAAGAATAAGATCAGCACCTCAAACTGATTTTGAGTTACCCATTACAGCGGTTTTTTGCAATGTTTTTTTTAATGGGAAGTTTTTTCTGTTAAGTTGATTAAACTTTCCTAGTTAATAATTAAATTGTTAGATTTATAACGTTGACCTTTAAATCTTTAATAATTAATCATATATTCGTTTTATCTCTTTAAGGGGTTTATTTCAAGTCGTTCTTCAGACAGTTTTTTGAAAAAAAAATATTAAATTTTACCATTTTCAAAATTTTTTATTTTCAATTATTTTTATTTTTAGGTGAAGGTGATGCATTGATTTAAGTATGCAGTGACTGGGTCTAGTTCAAGCAAACCAACTAATTTCTTAATGAGCTAGTTAAAATTCAAACATTAAATAAATTTAAACATAAAAATATGTCGACTCATATAACGAAATATAAAATACGATTTTATAATTGTTTATAAGTTAAAAAGAAAACTATTCCATTCGTACTTTGTTTGGTAAATATCTATCTATCTTTCTAGATTCATTCATTCTCGTGAAACAAAAGTTTTTTTTAGATTAAAATTTTAAATGTGTTCAATAAGAACTACTCTTTGCCCGCGATTTAAAAGCTTCGGCTCGGGTCTTAATTCCTTAAACCCGGCTTTAAAACCCAAGCTAAGACCCAACTCTGACGACAGCTGCGAGATCTTAGGCTTGATTTACATAGTAAGGCCCAATGAAAATAAAACCGACCTTGGTTTGTTTTAGCGGAGAATAAGACTCAATGTTGAGTTTTGTTCTCATCTAAAACCCAGAATGCGCCAAATCAAACAATGAAAATCAGCCAAATGCAATAACAAACCGATTTTATGAACTAAATCGGTGGACAATTAGATGCAACTTAAATCCAAAAACCCAAGCCGTAAAATAAGGCCCAACGACAGCTTAGACCTGAGCCGCATTTTCCCAATTTTTTAAAATCGCGGGCTCCCAAGAGAAATGGAGAAGATGAGCAAATTTAAATTTCTAATATGCGACCAAATAAATTTTCTATTTTAATATTGTGGGGTAAAATTTAAAACAACATGATCAAAAAGTCGTATCAGTAATTTCGCATAAATATATTACCTTAACCTTAATATTTAACTGCTTTATTTAAGCCATTAAAGTATTTTCAGGTAAAATAGTTTTTGAGTTTAAAAAAGAGCCAAATCATTCTGAGCCCGCGATTTTAAAAAGTCGGGAAAATACGGCTTGGGTCTAAGCTGTCATTGGGCCTTATTTACGGCTTGAGCTTTCGGATTCAAGCTGCATCTTATTTTCCACAGAATTGAGTTCAAAACCCGGTTTAATATTCTATTTGGCGGATTTTCATGGTAGAAATTTGCGCATTCCAGGTTATAGATGAGAACATGAGTCAACATTGAGCCTTATTCTCCACTAAAACCAACCAAGATCTATAGATAGATTGATATATTTATAGGTAGATAGATAGATAGATTTTCTATGTTGTGGATGCACTGTCCTGAATTTGGTTCTAATTTAGATGAATTTCCAACAATGCATACACCATACAAACAAACTTGAATAAAATATATATATAGAGCCAGGGTTGAGTTGGGGGAGGGGGTTCATGAATTAAAATCCATTATTTCAAACATTTCATTAATGTTCCTCACAGAAAACCAATTAGTTAAAACATCCTAATCATTGAAATTAGAATAAACTTTGCCAAAAAGATTTTATTCTAACGATTTGTTTAATGATAGGTTTTAAGCTTCCTTCTTTTCTTTTAACAAACTTAGGATTTAATTTTTTAAGTTACAATTTTTTCTTCTTAATTGTAAAACTCAATTTGCAACAAATTTTCAAGTTAAATTGATATGTTTTGAAAACAAGAAATGTCGACATTTTTTCCATTCAACATTTTTCCATTTTAAGCGTCCATAAACCTCCCTTTGGGTTATGTACAAGTGGCCGCAACAAATTTGGGTACAATCAAGGTTATAATGCAAGGAAAGTTATTTCAGATGTGTACGCATCTTTTATATTGCAGTGTACTGTCTCTGGGCGATAATATAAACACAAGACGGATGTCACAGCCCGAAATGGGATCCTGACATGGGATCCATCTTTCACATAAAAAATCAATGAAATATTCTGTTGAAAGAAAAATATTATGTGAATTATCATAATTGTCAAAATTAAATGCGTTAAACCTCCTCGGGTTAAACAAACACTCAGGCATCTTTTCTAAATAACAATTTCCGCCAAGAGAGAACTGGTTTCAATATGTACGCAGAGTATACGCAACTGAAATTAACTTTCTTTGCATTATAAACTTAGTAAAGTCGGTTCAGCCGTTTTGACGTTTATTTGACAGAGAAAAAAGTTAAATACGTCCGAAAAATCGTACGCTTTTTCAACAGTTTTAGACAGTCTCACAGTCATAGACAGCCAGACTAAACTGCAGTATAGAGAGGATATGACAGATCAGATATGTTTACCCCCCCTCTCCACCTCCTCCCTCCCCCTCTTCTCTCCTTTTGTTAAAAGTGTCTAGACCAATTTAAGATCAGATTATCAAAAAACCAACATTAATATTTTTTTCAGTGTTTTCACAACAAACCTTTTGTCTGACATGATCAAGATTTAATCATAATAGCCACCCCCCCCCCCTCCGGAAAAATGACACAAAAGACTAAAATATATGAATTTAAAAATGCATTATCTGAAATTGACGATGCTTGTTTACTAAAATACAATGAATTCAGATATCAGATAAAAAATATAATAAATAATAAAATTACTAAAACATATCTAAAAACTATAATTCTATGACTACTATCACTTATAGAAAAAATGAACTAAAATGAATTCTATAGTTTATTTATAAATGTTCTACATGAAATACATATAAAGTATGCAAGTCTAGAATCCGGGGAATAATAAATAATTTATATCCCCCTGATTTACTAAACTTTATATACTGGGTTATCTAAGAGAAATCACAATTTAACAAAATGCGCAAAATTTTCAAAATTTTTTCTTTTGAAAAATTTGACTAAATGCATTGGGTTAGGGGACTATTTAAGGGAATGGATTTGTAAGGAATCCTAAAAAAAAAAGAATAAAAATGCAAAAATTAAATTAATTAAAAAAAGAAAATAAATATTTGGAATGCTGTTGTATGGTGGACTAGGGTAAACTCACCTAGATTCTTCAAGAGAGAGAGAGAGATAGAGAAAATGTGCGAAAAATATCCAAAAAATTCGCAAAGTTGCAAATTCTAGAGATCAGTGAAAAATGACTTAACTACCTATCGTGCACGAAACTGTGCTAAATAGATTTTTTATACAAAAACTGGTCTTTGGCTCTAATTTAATTAAAAAACTTATTTACAATCTTTGGTAGAATCAGACACTTTGTACACTTAATAATATTTACACATTCAGAAAACGACTATAATATATGTAATATATTTGAAAGTTAAAAAAAGCGTTTAAAATATTTCAAACATTTTACCCTTCAAATTTGGTATCACAGGATGCAAAAAAAGGTTTAAAAAGGCACTCAAAACATACAAACTAATAACCCAAATGGGGTTCAGAAAAACGAGCACATACATATGGGACGCGCACATTAACTTTGATGTAAGCTCTGACAGGTAGGTATCTAAGTTTCAGGGTGCCAACACTATTTACATTTGCACGGATATGTTTTTGCGACAAAAACAGGTCTTCAAACTGGCAAAAAAACTGGATTTTAGAGGCGACCATAGTCTACTCTAGCTGCTGCAAAAAGTCTTGGGTTTTGAAATAATCTGGGATGGGTTCGTCGTATCGAGCAATTATTTTGTAAATTTGTTTTTTCCAAGATGGTTCTCCGTCCCGGCCGCCGCGAATAGAGATGAAAAATTCTCTCAAGGTTGCCTCAACAACAGGCAGAAAATGATCAGGAACCTACAAAATAAAAAGGGTAACTAAACAGGAAAAAATAAATAATGATAAAAAATGCTTTGTTCAACATCACAATAAAATATGTTGCATTGAATAGTTAAACTGAGTTAAGTATTCAATACAGCGGAGGCATGCAGAGGAAAACTAAGCGTGCAAAAAAAGAGAAAAATTTAGAAAATCTTCTTCAATATTTTCACACCAACTTCAACACGACAAAAAGACCGGGTTCCTACAATTAACCTACCCTGGAACGTAACATCTATTCCAACTGTTCCAGGAAAGCTTGAGATTTAAAGTATTCAGGAACGAAATCATCCAGTCTCGCGATCACTTTGTAAATTTGTTTTTTCCAAGATGGATCCAAATCCTTGGCTCCCATAATGGATTTGAAGAACTCCCGAAGAGTCTGCTCCACTACCCATCGGAACCTTGAAGGAACCTAAATATGGACTCTATGGAACCTTAATATGGACTCTTTGGAACCTAAATATGGACTCTATGGAACTTAAATATGGACTCTATGGAACCTAAATATGGACTCTTTGGAACCTAAATATGGACTCAATGAAACCTTAAAATGGAGTCTCTAAGGAACCTTCAAATGGATTCTATGAAACCTTAAAATGGACACTCAAGGAACCTTCAAATGGATTCTATGAAGCCTAAAATGGACTTTTTGGACCCTGAAAATTGACTATAGAACCTACAAATTACCTCAAACCTAAAAAGGACCTACAAATGGACTGACGAGAACCCTAATTGGAACCAGGACTGAAAACCCCTAGAACTCTCCAAGAGTGTCCTTAGAACATAAAAGTGAAATTATGAATATGAAGTATTTCAAAACACTTGGTCCGCACTATTTCTCCGTCTTAAACCAAAATTGTTATTTGTGTGCTTGACTGATAGAGGATCAGCGACACTAATTGCATCTACGAAACCAGGGGTTTTCAAAACCAAAATATTTTTTTTATTCAAGAATACAGATTAAATGAGAGTGAATGTTTTGAACTTGAAAGATTTCTTATTCTTGAATTTTGTGAAAAATATTTAGCCTTTGCTCCTTGAAATTGATGTAGCTTGAAATTTCAAGTTTAAGAAACTATACAGGGTGATTCTTAAATAATAAATGAACCCGGGTGAGTCAGGAAAATTACAATATTAAGGATAGAAGTTACAAGAAAGATGCAAATATAATTTTCTTATGTTATATTTAATCTACATACATTATTCCACGGTCCACCACCAAATATCTGTCCCAACGAATATGGTATATTTTGAAACAAATTATTGACATTTTTAATAGCATTTCAAACTTGAAAGCATTTTGTTTGAAATATCCATAGCATTTTTATCGCAAATCCTGACAAAATTATTTTAATTTCGAAATGCATTCGGTTATTCGATAAAATTAGAAAAATGTTCTGCTCTTACCTCAATATGGTTGTTCCTATTGTAATGAAGGTTAAGAACCCTGTAGAGCTCACTGTCCCCGGATACTCGGATCTCCTCGGAGTTCTTCACGCCCTCGCTCAAGGCCTGCCTAGCGTACTTCTCCATCTGGATGTAGTAGAACTCCCTGCAATACAGTATCGTTATTATATTTGTTATTATCATCACTATAACTATCATTGTTATCTTATCTATATATCTATCTATCTATATATCTTTATATCTATCTTTTGTTCTTAGATTATTATATAGTTTTTATTCTGCTGGCTGCAACACCTGCTTATTCATACCCGCAGATCTTAGGACATAGGGTGCCCACAAATATTCATAAAGGATGCAGCAAATTTTTATTTATAAAATATAAACAAACATACACTTGTATAGGATGCCGAACACAAACACTAGATGAAGGTTGGTGACTTGTAATGGAATCCTAGTGTTTTACCATCATTACTTTGTATAGTTATTTCTTTAGAAATGTTTAGTACAGGGCTCCCTTTCCCCCTCCCTACAGGGGGTAAATGATCAACTGAGATATGTTCCCTTTTCCCCAGGGGGGGGGGGAAGAGGTTTTTTAATGCATAAAAGTGAGGTTAGTTAATGATTCATAAAACTTTTCTGGAAACCATGGCGTTATATTGGAAGATGAAAAATAAAACTATTTTCTTTCTTTTTCGTTTTTACTTTCTTTGTTTCCCTTTGTTGGTTTGTGTTTGTCGCTTCTTGTGTTATCTGTCTTTACACAGGTGTACAGGATCTGTTATGTTTGATTTATACAACAGCGACAGCTGTCTTCTACTAATTGTTTAAGATATTCAGTATATTCACACTTGAGACAAACAAACCAAGTTGAGGACACGAAGCTAGAGGGTTGACAGAGAAAACGGTTAAAATTTGTCTTATAAAATACAAAGGACTTTCAGCATCTTTTATCCTAGATTTAGAAACCATCTGCAGTTTTCCTCCTCTCGCATCCCGTCTTCCTCCTATTCCTGAGCGTGGTGGTTTTGAAATTATTTAACTTGACAAAAATGTAAACTGTATAAGATAAAAACTTTTGAATAAATTATGAAATTAAATCTCGAACTCCAATTTGAAAAATTGTTTAAATAATGATAAATCAGCCTTGAAGGATTTTAAAGTTCAATGCTGTCTTAGAAATAATATTTATCATCAAAAATTAAACATGATCTAAAAATTCTTAAAGTCCCTTTCATTAAAAAACTAAAAATAAAAACTATATTTAAAAGTTTTTACTTTACCCTTTTCTGGAGCAAAACTATTCTCAGAATAAAATTGAGATAAAATTGCAGAAAATTCTTGAATAAAAAATAACATGTCTTCTACGACATTTAGAAAATGTTTTGAAAAACAGTTTTGAAAAATATAAAATGTTGAGAATATAAAATCGATTGATCGGATTGACGTGAGTCAAAAGAATAAATATAAAAGTGTGTACACACCTTAAGACGAATGTTTACATAAATTACTTTTTAACCACAAACCGTCTCCATAGGTAGGCGTGTGTTCGTAAGCAAATATGACAAAATGAGTTGATTTTTTGTGTAAATTTCGTAAATTTGTCTACAGAGGGTTCAATATTGGAAATACCTCAGAATGAGGTCAAACAAATTGAGTAATTTTTCTCCCCATTTAAACTATTTGAAATATTAAATAGCATTAAATTGAATTGGTTAATATGGAGAAGGGGAAAGGAAGATGAGAGTAACTACCTAAACTACCTAAACTACCTAAACTACCTGAAATACCTAAACTACCTGAACGACTACAACATGATTAAGACCTACCTGAAGTTAGAGAACCATTTAACGAGCTGGGCTGTATTGTTCTTATTAAACTTGATGTCAGGGAAATACATCTTCAAGATGGCGGAGCTGGGATATCTCACCCAGAAGAACATCAACTTCGCCTTTCTCAGGTGCATTGGGGTCAACGTGGAGTTCTGCAGGTCACACATTGAGTACCCACCTAGATATATAGATAGATGGATAGATAGTTGATATATAGATGTATAGATGGATAGAGTACTAAATAGATATATAGATATGTTAAGAAAGTGTGAAGTATATAACTGTAAAATCATCTTTACTCTTTGTTTAAAATAATCTTAAAAGATAATTAAACCTCCTCCCACCTGTGTTACTAATGTGTATATTACCCCCCCNGGGGGGTTAATATTGAGTAAAAGGTATAGATAAGATATTGACATAAATTAAAGACACAAGTGTGAAGATCTTCAGATTATTCTCTTGTTATACTATAGAGACACTATAACAGAGTTAGTTAGATAGATAGATATATAGATAGATAGATAGATAGATATATAGATAGATAGATATATATATAGATAGATAGATAGATAGATAGATAGATAAATAGATAGATAAATAGATAGATAGATAAATAGATAGAATGTAAAAGTTACCTAACACTGACAAGTGCAAGTTTATATCTAAAGACAAACTGTTCTCTTCTAAATCAATATAGATTTCTCAGTTCAAGATATTTAGCTAATCAGATAGAAAGATAGAGAGATACATTTACTAAATAGTTGAATTTAAATAGATGGATAGAAATGGATGTAGGAATTCAATGAAAACTAATGTGAAGTTCATTAAGCATATTTTAGTTAATTAGAAAATGAAAATTGTAAGGTAAACGTAAAGATAGATTGAGAAATAGAAAGAAACATAGAAAATAGAAAGATTTAAAAATAGAACAGTAGAATAGACGAATAGAAAGATAGAAGAATAGAAGAAGAAATATAATGTATTACTAACTTTACTCTCATTATTAAACTGAATCATTATTATTTGTCAAGTTAACTAATGGTAGGTCGTTAGATAGACTCTTAGAACTATATGGAGATAGGATCAAATAGTTTGCCAGATAGTAACAGATAGTTTATCAGATTAGATAGTTACAGATAGTTTGCCAGATAGTAACAGCTACTTTGCCAGACCAGATAGTATCAGATAGTTTGCCAGATAGTAACAGATAGTTTATCAGATTAGATAGTTACAGATAGTTTGCCAGATAGTAACAGATAGTTTATCAGATAAGATAGTATCAGATAGTTTGCCAGATAGTAACAGATAGTTTATCAGATTAGATAGTTACAGATAGTTTGCCAGATAGTTTATCAGATTAGATAGTTACAGATAGTTTGCCAGATAGTAACCGATGTTCTGTCAGACCAGCCAGATAGTTACAGATAGTTTGCCGAAAAAAAAGCATTCAATACATTTGGGATAAAAAATTAATTATTTGAATAATAATATTTTGAATGAATACTGTTTGGAGTAGTGGTATAATCTTAAGGATAAATTGCTTCATGGTTTTAGAGTCTAAGGTGTGTTTATAGAACCATGATAGCCAGGAATCTCACTCTCGTTTAAATCCTACCCACGCTAGACTGAGTACACTGGAACACATTAATTTAAAAGCGAGTTTTGATATGTTGTTATTTATCCCTTAAACCTATTTTCACTCATTAAGTCTTTTTTTAATACAAATATCAGTCTATAAGGGGTTTTAACTTTCATGAAAGCAATATTATTTGAAAATCTTTGAAAAGGAATTTTGTTTGATTCAGATATTTTCTCTCTAATATTAAAAATCAACTTTCTTTCTTCAGATATTTTTTTCTGTTGTTCAACCCCCCCCCCCCTCTTTTTTGAAGCATTGTCATTGAATCCTGGCTTATTGAAGCATGAAGTTGTGACGCGTGTTCCAAGAGAAGTTGTTAAGAAATGAAACCGAGGAAAGGGAAAATCATTCGGCCAAGGAATGACACTTTCTGCTTTTTCAAAGAAATATCTAATTGAAACTAAACAGAAGACACAGAAAAGGACAACACAAGGGACACAAAGAGACGGCTTCAGACAAAGAAGACCGTCTATAGTTTTTCTATACTATACAAATAATACTTTATAAGAGCAGACACAATCTTTTTTGATAAATCAATTGCAACATTTTTTTACTTTTTCGAGAATTAGTAAATTATGAATAAAGTGGTAACTAACCTGACATAGAAGCAAGGCTGAATCCTGTATTTCCTGGAGTATCAAATCTTAGATCATCAGAACTACTCCTAGATATACTCCTCTCATCCCCGCCCTTCAAGTTCATATCAGGGGAGTGGGTTGCCAGCATCGAGGGGTGGAGTAGAGGAGGGGGAGGGCGGGTATCTCTGGGAGGGGAGGCGGATCTAGCCCTTTCATGGGGCGGGCTCAAGTCCCTAGGGCGGTTCAGGTGAGGGTGGAAGGGAAAGGGGTGGAAAGGGAAGTCAGGGGCGAGGGAGGTGGGGATATGAGGGAGAAGGGAGTGAGTGAGTCCTGGGAATGGAGGGCGGGGTAGGTCAGCAAGATGTTTAGGGAATCCATGAGGAACAAAGTGATGATTGGGATTAAAATGTTTTTGTAATTGTTCAATACTTGTTATGGGTTGATCAGCTAGTAGTCTGGAAACTGTTCTAGGAGTAATCCTTGTATCAGTCACCTTGTGCCTTTTCTTCTTCGGCGTAACCACAAGATTAAGTGCATCATCTTGCTCCTCATCCTCCCTCTCCTCATCACTCTGCTGGAGGTGGGAGTTGTACAGTGAGCTCATCAGAGGCTTATCAGCTCCATAGGGGAGCAGGGAGGGACGGGAGATGGGAAGCTGGTTGTTGGTGTTCATGGTGTTAGAGAACATGGTTGGGTTCGCCATGGAGAGAGGGTTGGAGACGGTTCTAGGTGTTGCTCTGTCTCTGACCTGAGGAGCTCGTCCACTAGGAGTTTTCATCCTGTCCTGGTTTACGGAGTCATCGGAGAACTTACCCAGAGGTTGCCTCTTAGCTGTGAGAAACCTCTGAACAATAGAGTCCACAATAATGGTGAGAGAGGTTGTTATTTCTGATTTAAGTATATCCGCCAGTCCTTCCAATTCTGGAGAAATAGCAGCCAATTTGTCAGCAATTTCATTCCGACCAATTGTACTGTGAACAATATCTTTCGTTATCATGTCCTTAGTAATCTTATCTTGTTGTTCTTGAAGAAATCTCTTTGCAAGATCCATATAGTTGGCGTTCATACTGGTGGGGGGCAGGGGGAGGGGGTCTACTGATCCATTTAACAAGGGATGCCCAAACCCGGAGAATGATTTGGGATTTATTTTCTTTTCAATTGTAATCTCATCCATGTGAGAAAACCTTTTCTCCTCCCTAGAGAGATCAATGTGGAGTTCTCCGTCCTTCTCCTCCGGGTCTGCGTTCTCGTCGTTGTTGGAGATAAACTTGTGCTGCATCTTCACCAGATCCTGCATGGTTCGGAGCTGTGTCTCCAACCCGTCCCTTCTCTTCTTTAGATCAGGTTCCTCTCCATCCTTCTCTTCTCTCTCCTCTTCTCTACCCTCATCATCCTCCATACTCTCATGTTGTATAGGTTGATATAACTTCCTCTTTTTACACCCCTGGGGAGGGAGGGGAGAGGACCGAGCCAATCCTCCAACAATGTTTTCTAACCTTGAGGCTTTTTGATCCTTAGCTGATCCTGCAGAGTGTTCTGAGGATGGAGAAGCAGGAGAAGTTTCTCCGTCTGAACCTGAACCTGCAGAGCTCCGACCATTCTGTTGGAGGTTGATTGGTTCATCCTTGTCCTCGCTGTCACTGATATGATTTGGAGACTCTGTGTGTCTGTCGCTGTCGCTATCTTTGCTCATATTGAGCGCCATCTCTTGTCTCACCTTCAAGATATGGTTCATGATGGAGGCGGCGGTGTTTTCCTTAAACTCATTGTTGTTAATTCCAGGGATTGTAGGACGAGAGAAATCTCTAGGTCCTGAGAGAACCATTCCTCCCAAACTATGCTCCATCATCTCTGATACTGCTGCAAGCTTAGACTGGAGAATGTCTCGGATTAAAAAAGCATTTTCTGCCAAGTTTTTATCCGATTGAATAGTCTGTGTGGTTTCACTGGTACCCTGATCACTTAAATCCTTCTCACTCACTGCTTCTAAGCTACTGGAGAAAGTATGTACGTGAGTCCTGCTTGAGGGTTGCTCAACGAGTGGTCTCGGATTGATCTTAGTATCTGTCGGTGTCTCGGAGCTGAACCCGCGGCTTGAAGTTCCGTTCCTTCCGTCTCCCGTCCAAACTTCTCCCGCCCCGGCCCGACCCCCGCCCCTAGCCGCCAAAAGATGCGACTCCTGGACCAAATTAAGATGGCTGAATCTAGGATATCCAAGGTGGGGATTGTACACAGGCCCCTTGTACATAGTACCCTTGTACATACAAAGATCAGGCCTAGGAAACATGTTTGAAAATCCTGGAATACTTGAATATGAGTTTCTTGGCTCCCCAGCATCAACTCTCTGTCTTACTCGCCTTCTAGCGCGGAGATTAAAATTTCCGTTGTTTGAAAATCTATTTTTATCCTGATGGGTTGGATAATTTCTCCAATGTCCCTGGAACTGGGTCCGCGGAGTTATGAAACTATTGGGGGGAGGAGGAGGGAGGGGGAGGGGGGAGAAGTTTTGGTAATAAGTTGAACCTTGATTTAAACCAGGATTTGGATGTAAACCCTTCTCAGATCCTTCATGGTGAAACTGAGACCCGGAGAAATTATTACCCGGATAGCAGAAACTATTCTTGTAAAATGTTTGTTGATTGTTAACAGTTGCAGAATGCTGTTGCTGTTTTTGTTGTTGAAAAAACTGTCGTTGCTGTGGTTGAGTATCTAAGAATGTATTGGATTGTTGTTGCACTGAAGAAGAATATGTTGAACTGGGATTGAGTGTAGAGTTGAGCTGTGTAGAGTCTAACCTAGAGTTCTCACACACTTCTTCCAACAGATCTTTAGATCCGAGGTCAGCCACACACTGACCATCTTCCTCAACCAACATTTTCTTATCCCTGGTTGGTTGGGTCCCAGGTCAGGCCTCCAATAGGAGAAGATTTCTTCATCCTCGCTCCTCCTTCTCCTCCTCCTCCTCCTCCTCCTCCTCCTTACTCTAGAGAGGACCTAGAGCCTCCTTTCAAGATGGTATTCGTCCTTACTTCAACCTCTAGCAGTCAACAAGAGAACCCAGCTTTGTATCTCCCTGTATCTATCTATCCATCTATCTATCTATCTATATATCTATCTATGAATGTATATGGATAAAGGATGAGTATGTGTATAAAGGATATGGACCCTGCAACTAAACTGAACTGTTGACCACTCTACAGCCTCCCTAAACCTCCTCCTTCTCCTACACACCCTCCCCTAGAGCCATATAGATAGAACCAGAATATCTATCTATCTATCTATCTATCTATATATCTATCTATCTATCTATTTTATCTATCTATCTATCTGTCTATCTATCTATCTATCTATCTATCTATCTATCTATCTATCTATCTATCTATCTATCTATCTATCTATCTATCATCTATCTATCTATCTATCTATCTATCTATCTATCTATCTATCTATCTATCTATCTATCTATCTATCTATCTATCTATCTATCTATCTATCTATCTATCTATCTATCTATCTATCTATCTATCTATCTATCTATCTATCTATCTATCTATCTATCTATCTATCTATCTATCTATCTATCTATCTATCTATCTATCTATCTATCTATCTATCTATCTATCTATCTATCTATCTATCTATCTATCTATCTATCTATCTATCTATCTATCTATCTATCTATCTATCTATCTATCTATCTATCTATCTATCTATCTATCTATCTATCTATCTATCTATCTATCTATNAGTTAGAAGAAAAGGGTTAGATAGCTAGCTAGTTAGAAGAAAAGAGGTAGATAGTTAGCTAGTTAGAAGAAAGGGTTAGATAGCTAGATAGTTAGAAGAAAAGGGTTAGATAGTTAGCTATTTAGAAGAAAAGGGTTAGATAGTTAGCTAGTTAGAAGAAAAGGGTTAGATGGCTAGATAGTTAGAAGAAAAAAGTTAGATAGTTAGCTAGTTACAAGGAAGGGGTTAGATAGCTAGCTAGTAAGAAGAAAAGGGTTAGATAGTTAGCTAGTTAGAAGAAAAGGGTTAGATAGCTAGCTAGTTAGAAGAAAAGAGGTAGATAGTTAGCTAGTTAGAAGAAAGGGTTAGATAGCTAGATAGTTAGAAGAAAAGGGTTAGATAGTTAGCTAAAAGGGTTAGATAGTTAGCTAGTTAGAAGAAAAGAGTAAGATAGTTAGCTAGTTAGAAGAAAAGGGTTAGATAGTTAGCTAGTTAGAAGAAAAGAGTTTGATAGTTAGCTAGTTAGAAGAAAAGGGTTAGATAGTTAGCTAGTTCGAAGAAAAGACTTTGAAGTTAGCTGGTTAGCAGAAAAGGGTTAGATAGTAAGCTAGTTCGAAGAAAAAAATTAGATAGTTCTAGTTATTTAGAAGAAAAGAGTTTGAAAGTTAGATAGTTAAAAGAAAAGGGTTAGATAGTTAGAATAAAAGGGTTAGATAGTTTAAAGAAAGGGTTAGCTAGTTAGCTAGTTAGAAGAAAAGGGTTAGATAGTCAGCTATTTAGAAGAAAAGGGTTAGCTAGTTATATAGACTGATAGAGGAAGCTAGAATGAGGTTTAAAGCGATTTAAAATGTAAATAAAAACAATTAAAACAATAAACACCTTTCGCCTCTTTAACATGGATCTCTGCTGTGCATAGAAATTGTTTAAATCTCTCAATAAGTAATGTGTAATACACACATCACACAGTGTACACACTTAATGTTGGTCTGGATAGAAAGCTCGAGTTTTACTCTTCAGGAGAAGATCTAGTTTTTTTATCCTACACTCTCAATTTTGCCACTGAAACTTAGAAACTTCTTACTTTTAAGAAATAGTAATTTAGAAGATTTTTACGAAACGACTTCATAATCTCAGTGACACATAGTGCCGTGCAAAATTATGCGAAATTACTTGTACGTCTTTTAACCTCGTAAATCCTCTAGTTTTGATTATATGCCCAAGTCACACATTAATATCATTGTATAAACCATCGATATTTTAAACTTTAACTATTTAATCTTACAGTTTTAACCTCAGATTGATTAGAAAAGTTTAATTTGGGCGGGTGTTCCGGCCCTTTGAGATGGACAAGGGCAACGCCGAGTTCTTCAACTACTAGCGAATAGGGTTTCCAGCGAAAATTTTCGCGAAAAAATTCGAAATTTTCGAAAAATAAGAAATGCGAAAATTTTGCGAAAAACTGCAAAAATTTGGCGACAAAATAATGCGAAAATTTTACTGAAAAATACGAAATCTAAAAAGAATGAAAAATGTTTGCGAATATTTATAAAAAAGACAAAATTTAGAGATTACAAGACGCATTTTGCACCAAAATTTTCGCGAAAAAATATTTTCGCCAAATATTATAAATTTCGCGAAAAAGTTTACGAAATACAAACGAAAATTTTCGCATTTTTTCGCGAAACGTTTCGTTCGCTGAAAACCTCAGTAGCGAATGAATGCGTGGAGAGGATGAATAGGATGATGAATGAGTGAATGAGTTGAGGGGATTGTATTGTTTAATGAATGAGCCAATGAATCGAATGAGGATGAGCGGAAGAATGAGTCGAGGAATGAGTGGAGGAATGAGTGGAGGAATAAGAGGAAGGATGAGTGGATGAGTGAAGGAATGAATGAGTGGATAAATGAGTAGAGGAATTGTATTGTAGGATGAATGAGAGGATGATGGTCAGGCTAATGGACCAAATTCTAAAATAAATAAATCAAATATAAAAAGAACCTTTTAAAGTTAGATGCAAAGCTTAAAGGGAAATAATCAAATATTTAAATCTAAATATATTTGTCAGAAAGTTTGGCGAAACCAAAAATTGGCCGGTTAAATTTTGGCATCTTTTTCTTAAAAAAAAGAAGAAAAAATATATTTTTGGCATAACAGCTAACTGTTAAAACTTTTTCCGCTGTTTCTTAAATATAAAAAATATCTTCTTTTTAAAATACACAGTACAACTTTGCCTGATAGACCTGAAGTTTTCTTTATTAAAGTCGCACCATGCACTTAACTTGGAAGTTTAAAACCAAGCTAAGAAAGTTTCCGTGGTTCTCTCGAGTTCCCCAATCAAAATTTGAGGCAAATTAAGGTCAAGGGGTTCATGAGTTATGGGCGGACATACTAAACAGAAAACAAACAATGATTACTACTTTATTTACATAGATATTGAAAAATATTCAAATATCTAAACTTTTACTTAAAAAAATGGAAAATATTTTCTCTGTAAAATTGTCAATGAATCAATCTTGCAAAAATCCAGACTGCTTTACAAATGTTCAAGACTTGGTTGACTTTGAAGTGTCGCAACACCTTAAACTTTGATGTAACCTCACTAACTCATACATACTTTTTTGGAGCCCTAGACATGTGCTATAAAACATGTGTTGTGTTTAGCTGTATATGCAAAATTAAAAAGTTTAATAAAATTCCCCAACGGCCTAACCAAGAATTAATTTTTTAGGGGGCTTTTCTTAAATGAATTATTTTCCTGCTGAATACATTATCTGCGAATAAATGCAGCATGGACAAGGAAGAAAATGGACAGAATTTTGAAAAACTAGAATAAAATTTGTCCGCGGTCGGATACTTAACATAATTCAACTTTCTTTTTTTTTTGAAAAATATCCATTAAGAATAATTTCTCTGGTTTCTCTTTAAATTTGAACTACATAAAGTAATAAATCTGTGCTTCTAGGCCTGCAAACCATTTTCTGAAGGTTTTGGCTTGCGTCTGCGTCACGCACTTTGCGTAGTTGGCAGAGACGCTGGGGTTGCGTAGCTTCACGGTTCATCATCATATATAGGTAGATAGATAAATATACATATATATATCAGTGCAACCATACAGGATCTTCTGCCAAAAGGTCTGTTGTCGGTGTTACAAAAATATGGAAAAATATTGCACTTGCATCATGTCAAATAAAAGTAAGTCTCACATGATTAGAATGATAGTTCTTCTTTCTAAAGAAATAAAACAGAAAAGTTTTGAATTTATGCAACCAGATAAATTTCAAACAATTGGGCATAACATCCAAATTGGAAAAGCTATTAGGTCCCAAAGTCATACCAGTAATTTTGCATAAATTTAATCTTTCGTCTATATTTTATTTTTATTATGATTAAACACTTCTTTTTACAAATGCCATATTTACTACGTTTGTTCAATTATAAATAGAATATCTAAAGTGATTATTTTTTAATGCACATCAATGCTGACATTTACAAAATAACAAATAAAAAATATTTCAGCCATGGTGCAAAATACATCTTATTCTGTTGTTGCAAGATGACCCCAAGTAATCTGTAAAGAGTGGGGAAATAGTTCTTTTTGTCCCTCCCCTCCCTCATGCTCTACATTTCATTCAGCGAATACCATGACGACCTTTTGCTTGAAATAATTGTTCAGAAATATTATTAAATTTAGATTAATTTTTGACAAGATTAATAACTTTTACTTTCTACAAAGATTTCACATTTTTAGAAAACCAAATTGCATGAAGGGGGCATTTAAAATAGTTTCTGATTAACAAATCATTCTAAGATTGTCATTATTTATTTGTATTTATGCTGTAGAAAGCGGTGAAATATTTGCATTTATGCTGTAGAAAGCGGTGAAATATTTGTATTTATGCTGTAGAAAGAAAACCCAAAAAAGCCTAGTAACGCATGATGTACACTTAACATTAAATAAATATAAATTAATTGAATAAAAAATTAATCTTTACTTCTACTTTAAGTATTAAAGTAAGGGGGTTGAAGAGTTAATTAAAGTAAGGTTTAAGGGGTTAAAGAATTAAAGGGGAGGGGGGGAGGGAGTTAAAGAATTAAAGGGGAGGGAGGGGGGAGAGTTTATTTCTAGATAATAACTTAAGGATCAATTATACGAAAGTACTGGTAAATTTATATTTTTCAGTTCAATTTCTTTCCCTTCTTTGTCTTTTTATTTTCTTTCCCTTCATCTTCTTCGT